GGAAATGTAGGGGAAGGGGGGTAGGCTGGGGTGCTGCGGGCACTGAGACACGCGGCGACGTGGGGAAGAAAGGGATTCGCGAGACAGCAGGTGCGAAGAAGATTGATCCGAAACTGTCACCACGGCGCGGGGTGGCGCGGACGAGACGCAGATGGGGCCGCGGCGGCGCGCGGATGTGCGGTAATTCCGCCCCTCTGCCCCCTTTTCCCCAGGGTCCGCTGGGAGGGTGTCCGGGGAGAGAGCCGCCCTTGCCCGCTCGGGCCTTACCTCACACACGGGCTGCTGCTGGCGGTGCTGGTACTGCTGCCGCGGCTCCTGCGACAGCGAGAGAGAAGCAAATGAGAATCGATGTGCGCAAAAGAGCCTCCGGTGTGTGTATGTGTGTGTATTGGGAGGTGGAGGGGGGCAGCAGGGGCGGGACGGGCCTCAGTGTGGCTGCGAAAGGAGGCTAAGCGCCTGTATCCGTTCAGTGGCCCGTGGCCCAGTTGGCAACGAGGCCACACAAGGGGATGGTATCATGGGGGGCGGGGTGCAGCGGGTGCCGTCCGGGGGCGGCCAGTACTGGGGCGCGTCAGTCTGGCTGAAGCTGGAGCAAGCGGACGTCGTTGTCACAGAGCCCCCTGTCAGTCCAGGCGGAGGGGTTGTAAGCCAATCGAGTATCGCAATGGAGAGCGTCTAGAAAGAACGTCCGTTTTCCTCAGATTAATTTGGGAAATTGTAGGAGCTCGGCGCCTGCGAGACGCAGGGTAGGCCACCCCGCAGCACACGTATGCACTGCAGGCAAGATATTGCCTACCTATCAGGCGCTACGAGAGCCTCCATAAGCCATACTCTCAAGCATAGGCTGAGCTTGTTGCGTACTTTCTGGGTGATCCCATACCAGCTGACGTGAGCGTGCCAGTCCAGCTGGAGATGACAGAGGAAGTGGGCCACAGCTGAACGCGTCAGTCCAAGTGGACTGGAAAGGGCGGGCGTGTCAGTTAAGGGTGTCGTAGTGATGGCTAGCGTGTCAGTACTGTCGGTGGAGCAAACGGAGGACAAAGTGAGGGGAGCAGGGGTAGTCGAGGTGGACGCAGAGGCATGTCATTGAGGGTGTCATAGTGAAGGCAGCTGAGCAGCGTGTCAGTAGCTGCCAGTCCCAGCTGGAGTGGGTGGGGGGTCCGTTGCTGGAGCGGCTAAGTCCGGCTGGAGTGGATAAGGGGGCTGTGTTCGGCCGAGAGCACTCGAGTGTGAGCGGCTAAGGGGCCCAATCACCCCCGGGCGACCTCATCGCCGCGGGCGCGCCCTGCCCACTGAGCCGGCCGGACAGTTTTGTCCTTTTTATTTTCTTTTACTTTTTATTTATTTTTTATGAAGGGCAGTCAGTCGCCACCACAAAGAGAGGGGTTAAATAATACGAAAATACAGAAAGGAGGCCGAGCCGAAGCGCTCCTCTGCTGCTACTTAACTTATTCAGAAATATGAGGGGGATTTAGCGGTTCTGGCGGCAAGCGGCACGGGCCGGGCGGGCGGAGCGCCACGGCAACGTTTCGGGAGGGTGGGGTGCACTTATTGGAAAACTCCGCCACGGACAAAATATCGAGTTTAAAAATTAAACGAATTTTGTTTTCGTACGTCAAGGCTACGACACAAACGGTGTTGCGTGTTTGCATAACCTAGGGCTTTAGAGGCCACAAGCCACCTCACCTTACGGGTGGAGCGAGCGAGTAGGCAAAAGGCAAATTAACCCGAATAACTGTTGGCCCTGAGACACGTTGTTTTTAAGTCTCATAAAAGAAAATGGCTGGTACACAAGATCCCCAAGAGGCCTTTTCTCTGCGAGCAGGTAACCATCAGCGGTAGCCCACACACTCGTTCACCCTCCAACGGCCTCCCGTGTGGCCGGCCTGCGTCCTCTTCCCCGGCGAGCCGCGCCGCCCACGCCGCTCCGCCCACCTCACCTGTCCCGGCGCTCTGCTGAGCTCTGCTGAGCGCGCTCTAGCGGCCGGCTCCAGCTGGACGAACAAATGCCCGTCCCAATCACACCCGCACGCTGCCCCCATCCTCCCACTGGTGTTTTATTTCGGTCCTCGACCTCGCCGCCAACGTGCCGCGGCCGCGGCCAGGGCCAGGAATGCGGTGCGCGGTGGCGTCCGCCGCCCCTCTGTCGTCCCGTCTTGTACCGCGCCCCGCCCCGCCCCGCCCCCGCGCTCTACACTGTAACCACCTCTTGGCGGCGACAAAAACTTTTCTTTCCACGGATCGAAACTTTGCCAATGGACGTGAAATGAAACAAGTCCGACAGACAGGAAGATTTGTCATTTGCGCGCGGGGTGGCGGGGGCAAAGGCCGAGGCTACTTCCCCCTCTCCTCCTCCTCCTCCTCCTCCTCCTCCTCCTACTCCTCCTCCTCCTCTTTCCCCTCCTCCTCCTCCTCCTCCTCCTCCTCCTCCTCCTCCTACCCCTACTCCGGAAGAGTAATGGACGGGACGGGGCCTGGAGGGGGGAGTAGACGAGTAAAGGGTTAGGGGCTCAGCAGCAGCAGCCTTGTACTTCTACCCCCCCTCCCCCAACACCGGCTCCCTAAACCCCTTCCTCCCTCCACCACCCCGTGGAACAAACTTCGACTGCTTGAAGCCCTCTTTTCGCTCTCCCCCAGATAGCGTTTGACGGGTTCGGGGATGAACGCCGCCTCTACGAGCAAACAATACACGCCCGGTTGGGAGAGACGGACCCCCGCCACGAGATGAACACTGAAGAGGGAGAAAAAATATGAAGAATAAAGTCCGAGGTCTCCCAGCAGCGCCGGTGAGGAGGACGCCTTCCGATATATCCGTTATTGGCTGAGCAAAGTCACGCGCTCGGCTATTTCAATTTGGTCCCTCGCACCCCCACCCGCCCCTCGCCTTTTACCCGTTAGCGCGCAGGCAGGTCGTGAGGGGATGAGGCGACGGATGCGTTAGGAGGAGGAG